CACAGATCTTGTGTGTGGAGTACTCACAGGATGAGAGGTGGACAGGAATGAACTTGAGGAATCCGAAGGAGGTGATGTCAGCTGCCATAGGCTGTATATTTTATGGCTCACATTCCCCCTCCTCCTTTCTCTGTGTGCACGGTATTCCCAGGGCGTGGTCACTGAAAGCTCTGCAACCCACACCCCTTCTCTCCGTCACCACTGTCGGCTGCCCTTGTTCCCGCCAGCAGCACCCCTCCTCCGGACTGTCTAATGCATTTGAGTCCTTGTTGCCCTGTCCCTGCATCCACCCTCCTGTAATTTATCCCACCTTTGTGAAAATGGCCTTTCTAGGACCACAACTGTAGCACCTCTTCCAGATTTCTTCTCTGGCTCCACAGTGCCCACACACGGCACCTAACCCTGTGCCAGAGCCGGTCAGAGCCCTTCTTCATGGGGCCACTTCTGCTGCTCCAGCCTCTCCAGGATCCCTTATCCAGGGCCGCAGCGCAGGCAGCAAGGTGCAGCGGTCCAGGGCATGAACTCAGCCACACAGCCTGCGCCCAGTCCTCCCCCCACAATTCTCTTGGACGAGGGATTTAACTATAGCGATTCAGCATATTCATCTAAAAAAATGTTAGGAGGCTAAAGTGAGAATATATTTAAAGTGCAGCTGGTTACATAGTAAGAGCTATGGAAGTGTTTATCAAATATAAGAAAAAATAATTCTCTGGACTGCCACATCCTCTCCTTCCCTGTGAATTTACACCTTCAGGTTCTTAAATCCTTTTGGGTGGGGCCTCTCTCCCTTGGTCAATCATTCATCTTCCTTCTGGGTGGAGCTAAATTGTCAGGTCTTCTGTGAAGCCTTTCTACTATGCTGTGTTCTTCCTCCTATTAAAATTTCATTGTGTTATCACTTGTATTAGTTTCCTGTGGCTGCTGTGACAAGTTCCCGCAGCCTGGGTGGCTTAAAACCACAGGAATATACCATCTCACGCAGCTGGAGGCTAGATGTCTAAAATCGGGATCACAGGGCTGGAACTGAGGTCCACACCCTTTCCAGAGGCTCTTGGCGGAAAGCCGGTTCCTTGCCTCTACCGGCTTCCACTGGCCATTGAATTCCTGGGTTTGCAGCAAACCACTCTGATCTCTGTCTCCGTGATAACACTGCTGCCTCCTCCTCTGGCTGCGTCCCTTCTCTTGTAAGGACACTTGTGATTGTGCTGAGGGCCCAACCTGATCATCCAGGATCCTCATGCTACCTCCCGTTCCTCAGCCTGACACACCTGCAAGACCCTTGGAAACCATGTAAAGTGACATTTACAGGTCCCAGGGATTCGCGCTGGGTATCTCTGGATGACATTTTCCAGCTACTACATAGCTCTTCGCAGGTAGGTTGGTCTGTTTGCCTTTGAATGGCAAGGGTCTGCCTACCTCAGTATAAGCACATGATGAGTAATGGAAAACCGAAGTACATGTAGAGGTACACCAGCTCAGGGCACAGCTCCGTTGCCCAAGTACATCCGTATTCCATCTCTGATAAGGCTCAGTTTCCCTAGAGCTGTCTCTTTGTGCGGTGATTTGTGGTGGGGAGGAAATGTCACTCATGACTTGGATCAATTTCTAGGTCAGAGATTAAGCCAGGGGGACCTTCATCTTTGTACCTCCTCCTTGGAGCTACAGTGAGGAGACGTGACTAAGAACTCAGTTCCTCCCCACCGTGGGGCAGAGGCAGTGGAAAAGGCGGAGGAGCCCTGGCCGCCGGAAGGTGACTTTCACGGAATGTGAGAATGCCGAGTGGTGAAGTGACAAGCGTGAACTGCTATAAGAGTGCTGTCAACGGTTTGCCCGAGCTGGTTTGTTGCCATTCCTTGACCGTGTATTTTGAACAGTTTTCTTTGTAACTGAAGTTCCTAAATTTGTGGCTGTTGCTTAGCTATTTTCTCATCTTGAGTCACTTTGTGTTTGGCACAGACATTTTTCTGAGAGGAGTCTTGTTTCTTTTCCAGCGTTCTTAAGTCACAGTCACCTTCACCTACCAGAATAAGTTGCTCTAGCCACCAGTTACCTGGAAAGACAACCCGGTGGCTATGCTACTGTTTTTCTTAGCTAGTGGAAACCTTTCTCAGTGAATGAGGAAAAAAAATACACACTTGCAATACAAAAAATAAACAAGTAGATTACTTTTGCACAATTAGTCCTTGAAATGGTAAACTGTTCGCTGTTTATAACTGCTCACTTCCACGTCATCTTATCACCTTTGTGCTGGTTAGAGCCCCCAGAAATCAGAGTTAAAAAAACTATAGAGCCCTGAAATTTATCCAAGGTTCGCCCATATACGCATGTATTCTGAAACGTCTAGGATTTGAGAAATTTCTCTCATTAACACGTAATATCCATCTGTAGGAAGATACAATTGTTAGGATCAGTTCAGGTAGTGTGACTGGCCCGAAGTTCCCCTAACATAGCAGTCGGGCACCCGTGGGAGGCTGGTTTGACTCCTGTAGCCTGTGCAACAGAACCACTTACCTCCTTCAATCACCTGGAGCAACACTCTCCCTCTAGCGCTGCTCTGGTCACTGTCTTTCATACAGGTCATACTTCCTCCCACCCACGGGACTTTGCATGTGCTGTTTCCCCCTGTGTAGAATGCTTGCCCTGCCTCTTCTTGACTAGATTCTACTCATCCTTTGGATTTAGTCCAGGCATTGCTCTCCCTGGAAAGCTTCCCCAGACTAGGTTAGATTCACCTAAGCACCTGAGACCACTGGCAGTTTTCATTGTGTTTGTGTGATTATGTGATAGAAGTCTGCTTCCTCCACCAGAACGTAGCAAGCTCAGCGAGGGCAGGAGTAAGTCAGCTTTTGTTACCACTCTATCACCAGCCCACATCACTGCTGCTCGAACACAGTAAGCACGTGGTGACTATTTAAATGGTAAGCACGTGTGGGGGCATCTCCTGCTAGCTCTACCTGCTGCTGGATTTATTAGGTTACTTAACTTTACAGGGCCTCTTTCCTCAGTGTAAAAAGGCCTCTTCTGGTCCCCAAGGATTACGTATGACTCCTGTCTTCAGCATGTAAGATTGACTAGACTACAGCTAGAAAGCCGACACTATCTGTTATCTGCTTGCCATGTATCTCCCCACATGGAGAAACCTTATGCCAAGGAAGAAACTGGCATTACCCTTAAACATCTTTGCTTCTGTCCCTAATGCCACTCACTGTCTCCTTCCGGCTTCCTTTGCCTGTCGTTTAAAACACTGCAAATGGTCCCTTAACTGGTTGGTGGTTTTGTGTTCAGTCCTCTCCCCGCCCAGTCTGCCTGCAAAGCTGCCAGTAGAACTTGGTCTGTAACGCCGGCCTGGTCACGGCAGCCCTCTGCCTGAACACTTCCAGGGACTCCCATACCATGCCTGGGACCACACTCTCCTCTCGCGAAGCTGCCCTTCCCCTGTTTCTGCAGCACCGCCTGTCCTCTCCTTGAGAACTTACACTGCACTCAGAACCATTCAGGGGGCCCAAATGCACACTGTTCTCTCAAGTCCCCGGTCTTTGCAGTAGTTCTCCTGGCCTGGAAAACTGTTCTCCGCTCCTGTACTTGCAAAGTCCCGTGCATCCTTTAGGTTCAGTTGAAGGGGGCACCTGCCTTGACCAAATCCCCACTTTTCTGGCTGAGTTTGTCACTTACTGCCTGTGTTCTACAGAACACTTCCTCCAAGCCGCTACAATAATACTAAGTGAGCTGCATGTGTTTGTACACATACTTGGGTTAAGAGCACGGGCCTGAATTTCAGACAGACCTGAGGTGGAAACTCAAGTCCACAATTTTCTGTGTAGACTTGGAAATTATTCTGAGTGTTAGTTGCCTAATATTAGAAATGGGAAACATCACACCTAACTCATCGGGCTGTTGTAATTGTGGATTAAATGAGATACTGTGATTAATGCACTTAGTATGCCTGGCCAATAATGCTCAATAACTCATGGTAATTGTTATTGGATTGTAAATGTGTTGATTGCAAAGGCCCAAATCTATGTCCGTCTTTCTACCCCAGTGTTGGGCACATAATGGATGTTCTGAGTGAATGTTTCTTAAAATGGGTACGTGAGATAGTATTCTTGATGTATTTCTTTACAGGCAGGCTAGAGGCTTATTTATTTTAGGAATTTCATCGAAGCGTCGAAAATTCTACTGATCTCATGACAAATTCCAAATCCCATTTCTTTCGTTTTGCTAAACTCGTCTTGAACTTACATGGGTATCATAGTTTGGGAACAAACTTGATTTTTAAGCATTAGCATTTTCTGCAAAATTCACATTCTCTCTTCACACCTTTAGTCTCCACTGTATGCACATCAGTTCCGGCCTTTACATAATCCCACCTGCACACAGGTCACATCCTTCTTTCTCATGCAGGTGACGCCAATAGCTGCACGTGCATAGGATTAATGCTCAGTACTGTCCTAAGTACTTTCGGTGTTTTAAATCCTCTAGATGACTCATCACCTGACAGGTTAAAACCATGGAAAACTCTAGCTTAGGGTGCTGGCCACGCCAAGGCACTGCCCCTAACAAGAGCCTAATTTCTGGAAGGCGAGGTTATTGCCTGCTTCCTCTGCAGTACGCAGTGTCCGCAGTCCCCGTGAGCTCTGCGGCCCAGTGCACTTCCGCCTTGATCTACACATTTACCTCCCGCTTGGGGGGCACAGGGGAGACTAAGTTCACACCCAACACTCCCTGAGACTCCCCGGGAGATTTACAGGCTCACAAGCCTCAGCACATCAAACTTTTCTATGTAATTTCTCTTCCGTGTTCCCCGATGACTCACTCCTTCTAGGGTCTAAGCACGTAGGGCTGGGAAACATCTCTGCTCCCTTCAAGTTAGCGAGGGCAAGTCATCTGCTGGGACTAGCCCCAAGTCCAGGGGTGGCCTTGGATGCTTGCCCCGCAGGCGACCGCATCCCGCCCACGACGGGACAGCGTCCGTTCTCTCCGCGGAGAGGCCGCGGAGGCGCAGACGTCTCACGCCCTCCTTCCAGGAGCCGCCAGGGCTGCGGCTCTTTGTCGCGGCCACACCGGAAACCGCCCCGATTGATCGCGGGGCGCTCGCGGAGGGTCCCACGCTCGGGGCGGGGCCGCGGGGCCTGACCTCCTCCCCACGGGAGCGCGCGAGGACCAGGCGGGGCCGCCGTCCCTTCCGGGGAGCGGCGGCCACCGCCGCGAGCGCCGGGCGGCTTCCCACCCCGCCCCGCGCAGCTCCGGGTGACGCTTCTCCAATAACAGCTCGCGGGGAGCCGCAGCCGGAGCTCAGCCGGCGCCGGGCGCCCCTCGGTGCCAGCCCGCCCGCCCCGCCGCCACCATGACGGCCGAGGGGGACGGCGGCCTGGAGCGCTTCTCCAGCCCGGGCAAGGGCCGGGGGCTGCGGGCCCTGCGGCCCTTCCAGGTGGGCGACTTGCTCTTCTCCTGCCCGGCCTACGCTTTCGTGCTCACGGTCAACGAGCGGGGTAACCACTGCGAGCACTGCTTCGCCAGGTAGGCGGTGGGCGGGCGGGAGCAGGGGGCGCCGCGCGGCGGCTCGGACCGCGGCGGGAGGAAGTGCGCGCGGCGCGCGGGGTCCTAGCGCCGGCGTCCCGGGCGGTGGCCTCACTGCGGGCAGAGCCACGTGCAGTAGGAAGCCCGGGCCACGTTGGCGCCGCACGCCCTTCACCACACATTGTCAGAGATGCTTGCGCGGGATGTGCCAAGCTGGGAGGGCGGGGTACTGCTCTCAATCGTGGGCTCCGAGCCAGCCTTGTTCCACGTATGGTCATGAGCTGCCCTCTAGGTCCGGGCAGCCATAGTCTGTCACTTTTAGTTTGTGCTTCTTGCGCTGTGTTCTGTTCCCCACAGCCCAGCCCTGCCGCAGACTTGCCATTTCCTCCACGGAACTTAATGACACTATTTCATGTAAAGTTCACGGCCCCTCTTCCTTCTCAATCTCTGCACTTGGTGCATGGGGAGAAGCTAGAGGCACTGATTACACCCCTGGGATTCCGAGGGACTGCACTGATGGGACGCATCTAGCCCTGGTTTGGGACTGGGAAGAAGCCATGGTCCTTGGGGATTAGGCAAAACGTGTGGTTGACAATGGCATTTAATTGTAGCATGTCATATGGACACATATTCACGTACACCAGCACATCATTATATCCTCAGGCCTTATGATAGTTTCACGCCCAAAAGGCACCTTAGAAATCACCAATACAACACCTTCTCACACCATTTTACAGGTGAGGAAACTACTGCCCAGAGAGGAAGCGTGGCTGTGTGTAGATTGTGTATACTTACGGGAATGCAATCTGTTCTCTTCAGTTCTGCCCATTCCCTCCCTGGTTGGGTGCTCAGGAAAATTAGCCAGGCAGGAAGTAGCGTAGGAGTTAAGTCTGTGCCTGCCCTTCCACTGCTCCTTGAGAAATGGGCCCTGCTGTGCTTTCTTTGAACCTCAGTTTCTTTATCTTTTTTTAAAAAAGATTTTATTTATTTACTTTTAGGGAATGGGGAAAGGAGGTAGAGAAACATCAATGTGTGAGAGAGAGAGACACACATCTATCAGTTGCTTCTCGTGTGTCCCCAACTGGGGGACCTGGCTGCAACCCAGGCATGTGCCCTGACTGGGAATCGAACAGGCGACCTTTCATTGCACAGCCCAGTACTCAATCCACTGAGCCACACCAGCCAGGGCTCTTCATCTTTGAAATGGAGATTCTTGGGAGAGATTAAGCAAACCTGAGTTACTGTAGGTCCCCTTCGAGTTCAGGTCTCAAGTCCAGCATTTATTGAAGTACTCAATCTCTGAAACCTGTGCACCTTATTCCACATTAAGACATAGTAAAAGAAGGGACAAAAGCTAAATAGTATAATAATAATCTTGGCCAGACTCCCTACCAGAGCTGTCTTCCGCTTGGGGGACCCTGGAAAGAGCTAGACGCAGAATCATGCCGTGGGCAGCTTAAGGGCTGTATGTGATGTGTCTCTTTGAATTGGTGAGCCAAGAGCTAAAGGGTCATGGTACCACTTTGCGACGTTTGAGTGAAGTGAGCACTGGGTTTTCCCAAAGTTAAAAAGGCTGCTGTGACGAGTCCCCTTGATCTTCTGAGCCTTGCTGTGGCTCAGAGTCTGAAGCAGTGTGGGTGTCTGGAGTGGCAGGAGCAAAGCATGGTCATCCACCACGGAAGGCGCCTCCCTTGCTTTCATCAGGGATCCTGGTGGTTCACGGTGTGAGAGAAGACTGGGGTGCCAGGCACATAGTAGGTACTCAGCTGGTAGTTACCAGTCCACTACCAGTCCTCAAATGAATTAAAGATCAAATCCCTCTGGATTCAGAAGGGAGAAGCAGAGCTGAGAGATGCTTTTCTTTATTTGTGAGTCTCCTAACGGTATCTACTCTCCACCCCCCGACCTTTAGAACAGTCGAGTACATTCGACTGCAACTTTGCACATGTGACAAAGCTTGCTTCCCCCACCCCCATGTTCTAAATGATGCCTGTCAGTGTCACCAGGGCTGCCACATGCATTAGGGTAGTTCTGGGCACCTCCCCCACCTGCTCTGTTGCCTTAGGTGAACTGTCAACACCCACAGGTCACGTCCTCTCATTTGAAGTCAACTAAAACAACACTCAGGAAATCATGATACCAAGACACCAATGACATTAGGAATACCTCCATAATCCACTCTGAGTTCTGTTAAGTCTGATTAGGTTCGAGTGAGTGATTAGCTCCTTCTCATAGATTTAACACCATTTCCTCTGTCAGCTGTTCCTGTGCAATTGGGGACAAATCAGTGTGTCCGCCTGTCCTAGGAAAGTCTGTGTCATGTTTTCACCATGCCTCTGAGGGGTAGGAGCAGAATTCTCAAATACTGAAGCATGCAGGGCACGATCCACTCTTCCCCCTCCCCCCGAAAACTACTCCTTATCCTTTCTTGTGCCAGGAGTTTAAGGTCAACAATATCGCTCAGATAAATGAGGCACTAGAGATTTTCCCCGTCATGTTAATTGTATGAGGGTTTAACTTACTTTGAAGGAAAATAAGTGATTTCTTCAGGAATAATTATGTTTTATGGTTGACAAAAAATGAGAAGCTTCTTAGGTTACCATGGAATAGAGTGGTTACTGTCAGGACAGTTCAGACAAAGGTGTGTTTCTGAGAGTTTTAAATTCGTATCACATGTCCTCAGATTTGGTAGGTGACCCTTGGGAAGATGTGTGTCTTGCTTCAGCAGCTGGAAGGCAGCTTCTGAAAATGTGTCTTCGGATTCGGAGCTCTCCTTATCTGACCTGGCGGATACACTTTATGTGCATACACACTCAGGCACAAACACAGTTCTTGGCCTTAGGCCAACTTTTTGTGCTGGTTTTATGACATCATAGTTCAGACTTAGTATTTGACACATTTTAACCCTTGACATTGTCTGTCTCAGAAGGAAAAGTTCACTGTAATGGAGTGTTCCATCTGAATATTTGTTCTGAGAGTAGCTCCTCTGGTGGGCCGATGCTACCCTCTTGATCTTTCATTCTTTGGTTCATGGGGCACTTCAGGGCAAAAATATTGTCTTTTTTTTTTAGATTTCATTTATTTATAGAGAGAGGAAGGGAGGGAGAAAGAGAAGGAGAGAAGCATCAATGTGTGGTTGCCTTGCATATGCCTGCGACCCAGACCTGTGCCCTAGATTGGGAATCACCCAGTGACCCTCTGGTTCATAGGCTGGTGCTCAGTCCACTGAGCCACACCAGCTGGGGCAAGAATATTTTCTGTTTGTCAGTTTGTTCGGAGTGTGGAGGGAAAGTAGGAAGGCCCACTTAGCTTCCCTGGAATACAGATGTTGGAGCCCAGTTTCAAGTTTATATTATGTCCCGCTCACTCAGAGTGGTAGCTTTAACTTAAAATGTTTGCGTGGCATCTCCATCTCTGACGGAGATGTTTCATTTCAGCAGTTATGAAGATGTAAGTTCCCCCAGATTGGTTTGGTGGCAGTATTCACCTCCTCTTCCCCACTGTTTGACCAAAGGGCAGGCCCGAGCCATCTCAGTTGCTCCGCCCATTGGAAAGGGCTCCGCCCATCGGAAGGGGCTTGTGCCCAGGGCTGCTGTGGTTCAGCTTGTTCCCAGACCGTTTTCTGAGAGTGGGAGAGTCTCAAAGGGGAGAAATGGCTTCCCATGTGCTCAGATTATCTTACTTTCCGAGTGGAAATCAGGCACTGGCTCTAACAGAGAATTCCCCACTTCTTTTCACATGTATTTTTATAAACATTGCACGATTGAAAAATCAGACAAAAAAATACAGACGTCAGATTTCTTCTGAAAATTTACCACTAATGAATACAAAATCCAGCCATCTGTGTGTCAGGGGAGGTATTGTGTTGTCGCTTTCAACATTTCGATATTTCAAGTTTTTCTTTTATTTAGAGACTGCAGAGAAGGGACTTTGGTTTGAATCCTCGCTCCCTCCCTTCCTGGTGGCTTGGTTTGGCTTTTAGCAAATTAGTTACCCTCCCTGAACCCCCAGGTTCCTCCATCTGTACGACCTGCACGTTAACGCCCTACTGAGCTAGTCCTGAGACAGTGTAAATCCAGTGCTCAGCACAGCCCTCACCCACAGGAAACTCACAATTGGCCTGGCATCTGGCTTCTACTGGTTGGATGAGCTCTGCTGGCTAAATGTTAACTAGTGTGCTAAAATATTGTAATGCCAGGAACTTCGTTAGGGTGGTGGGGTTGGGGCGGGGGACACTGGGGAGGTAACACCAGGAATGGCTGGCCAGCGGAGTCTTCATTCAGGTGGCACATCGACCCAGAGCCAAAAGCAGCAGCTCTCCTCCTTGGGTCCCCCCAGAAAAATGATGGGTGTCCGGGGTCGGTTTTCAGTATTTTTCAAAACCTAATAGGAATGATGTAATAAACCTATACAGGTAAAACTTTTTTTTTTAAAGCCTTTTTTAGCTTCAAAGTGCTTAGGCACTTGAACACTTTTATTATGACATTAAACAAATATTTGAAAAGAGACATGAGGAAAACAGAATTTTCTCCATAGCAAAGATACCAAGGCCTCCTGTAAGACTTCAGAGTGCAGAGTGCTGTTCCACGCGTAGATTTCACATGCGGGAAACATCGTTTCTGTTATAGCTTATAGGGGGGGCTCAGCGGCCGAGCTGCCCATTTGGAAACGAGTTGAGATGAAAGAGACAGAGCAACAGCGGGGCATCTTGAAGTGAAATTCAAACCCCGGTGAGTTAAAACCACCATCTAACACCTTTCCCTCCCCAAAGCAATTGCACAGAATTCTCACAATCAGAAAAATCCGAAGATCTATATACAATGACATCCCTCTACATTGCATTGCTTTTTGCAGCCCATAGAGTATCTCCAGAGTCGTTCTTATTTTGATTCTCTCCAGGATGGCCGGGAGAGAGAGGGCCTTATCTCATTTGATAGGGAAGAAACTGAGTGTTGGGCGGCGGGTGGGGTTGTGCCGCTGACCCTCACCTGTCTTGCCAT